GGTCCATTTATGGACTAAAACATGCATCTAGGGCATGGAACACTTGTTTTGATAAGGCGATTAGAACTTTTGGTTTTGATCAGTGTATTAACGAATCTTGTGTATACAAAAAGTGGGATGAGGACAAAGTGGCATTTTAGATCTTATATGTAGATGACATACTGCTCATAGGAAATAATGTGGGCATGTTGAATTCAGTTAAGCAGTGGTTGTCCACACATTTTGATATGAAAGATTTGGGAGAAGCGGCTCATATCCTTGGGATCAAACTCTTGCGAGATCGCAAGAAAAGGATATTAGGCTTGTCCCAAGGTCTTTATATTGATACAATACTCTCCAGGTTTAGCATGCATGATTCCAAGAAAGGATTCCTTCCTTTCAGACATGGAATTTCTCTATCTAAAGATCAGTCTCCTAAGACTGATGAAGAGATAGAAAAGATGAAGGCGATCCCTTATGCATCAGTTGTGGGGAGCCTCATGTATGCTATGTTATGCACTAGGCCTGATATCTGTTTTGCCGTTGGCGTTGTTAGCAGATTTCAGTCTAATCCTGGGAAAGAGCATTGGACGGCGGTTAAACATATAATCAAGTACCTGAAAAGGACTAGGGATTACATGTTGATCTACCAATCGGATGANCGAAAGAAAACGTGGATATCGTCCCTTAGTGGGAGAAGGAAACCTAACAGGTTTTGAAAACGGTTTTGACCTAAAAAACGCAGCTATATATATGGATATAAGGGCTGGACGTTTTTNAGTTGGAGGAGTATCAAGCAAACTTGTGCTGCTGATTCCACCATGGAAGCCGAATATGTGGCAGCCTCTGAGGCAGCCAAAGATGCAGTTTGGCTCGGTAACTTCCTGAGAGAGTTGGGTGTGGTTCCTTCGATTCAAGCGCCAATTACGCTTTACTGTGATAATAGTGGTGCGGTTGCAAATTCAAAGGAGCCACGAAGCCATAAGAGGGCAAAGCACATTGAGCGTAAATATCATTTAATTCGTGATATAGTGCAGAGAGGGGATGTAGTGGTCACCAAGATTGCGTCAGAGAACAACTTGGCAGATCCGTTTACTAAGAGCTTACCACAGAAGACTTTTGATAAGCATGTAGAAGGAATGGGTGTCAAAATTGNGTTCTTACCCTTGTATTTCTTTTATTTTTCTCAGATAAAAATGTGTTGATTTACCCTTAAGGTATCCTCTGTAGATGTAATCTTTCCACTTAAGCAGTGATTTGTTTTTGGTCTCATATAAGACTGGATCAGAATCACTTAATCTAAGTAGCTGTAAGGACAGTATTAGGCCTTTTCTTGTTCCAAAGCCCCATATTAGCAGTATGAACCTGACATATATGGTCCGAGGATGCTTCATGATGTTCATCAATTTTACGCGCAAGTTGCTCTAGTTCTTTCTATGGAACTTAAGTGTTTAAAGAATTTAAGTCCAGGCCTGGCAATCATGGGGACTTTGTTATTCTAGTTTGTTGCAAACAGTCACAGAGTAAAGTTTTATCAATGGATCTTCTTTCAGTTCTTACCTAAGCTACCCCGAGGCCCAATTATTTGCTGACTTATTTCATGATCTCTATTGATTTCCTAATCTTTACTCCTCCTATTTCCGTTTGAAGCATAACTTAAATAACTTTAAATCATTGAAACAGTAGTTGCTCTTGGCTTAATAACTTTAAAATCTTTGAAAAAGGAAGAAAAGTTTTCCTTCTTTTGGCTCAAGGATTAGTACTTACGCCCCCAACCTTTGATCGATTAACCCTGCTCAAGGATTAGTACTTCTGTTCTAAGCCTTCTCGCAACCACTCTTCATTTCATGTCCCATTAATGTTTTCATTTGTCACCACCATTACATATTGTAGTCTTGAGTCATTTAGCGCCATTGTTATTTCACTTGGCTGAGTTGGTAATTGGTAGTTGATTGGAATTGAGGCATAGTTGATGGATCGGTAAAACTTTTGTAGTTGGCCTTGTTGGGTTAATTGTATATTGTGTTTATAGAACTTCTGTAATCCCGAATTATGGCCTCAGGTCTGATTGTTAAATGAAGAATTCTGATCATATCAGTGTCTCAATTCACATCAGATCATAAGCCAGAGAATATCAGTTGTGTCAAGGTAGTATGTGCTAAGTTGAGTTAATGTGGGCTCTTATTGTTCATCACAGATAAATAAAGTTTGTTGTCCTTTTCATGTTTAAAACCAGAAACATTAGGTTTCCACCCTCTGGCCTTGGCTAACACTTTGAGAATAAAGTTTATTAGATAGAATTTTCTAATATAACTGAACTGCACGTAGCTTTGTCTCGATTCCTAACAAGACACAGAAGATATCACCAAATCTGCTATATCATTAGACATTAGCCCCATAAGAGATTTAACAATTTTCCTGCGATAGTGACTTGTTATTTGATAACTTGCACTCTTCTAATCAAGCATAAGGCAAAGGTGTTATTCATACAAGAGAATCAGTCTTTTGGGTATGACTTGAATTTTTATTTTTGTTTCTAAATCAGGTCCATCTTTTGAGGCCACCAACTAGCATTTGCTATGATATTTTGCAACAATAATAGGACTGGTCTATTCCTAAGAATTTTGCACGCTCAAAAATGGTAATATGGTATTACATTAATTGAATTTAATAGACTAGTAACACACACTTATTCGAATTGATGTTAATGTGATGGGAAAAACAAATTTTTCTCCGGTGTTCATCTAATGATGACGGATTTATCATTTCCATATTCTTTTCTTCTTGCTTATGTCTTCCTTCATGTTCATAAGGTTGATTTCTGTTGAGCTGAGTTTTCACGAATACAAAGATGTCTAGTGGATACACCTACTTATTTTTATGGTGGTCTTGTTTTATCACATATAAACAAACTCCTATCAGTTGGAGCTGCTTTTCCTCTTCCTCAATTCTTCTAGTAAGGAACCCAAGCTGTTGTCAGAGGATCCACCTTTCTCCACTGCCATTTTAGCCAAATTTCCTAAGGCAGCTGCACGGCTTCTCATCTCCTCAGCTTCCTGACCAACCATCAGTTTGGTGATTGCTCTCTGTATGTTTTCCCTGTTTATTGGGACTGTACTATCTGTTCTGTAAGACCAAGCCTGAGCACCTACTGGAACTCCTATCTTTAAAATCTCCGTGGGCAGCTTTTCATTAAAAAATTGTTCCGCTGACAGTGGCCACGTGACCATTGGCACTCCAGCAGTTACTCCCTCCAGCAACGAGTTCCACCCGCAGTGAGTCACAAAACCTCCAATGGCTTCATGATCAAGGATTAACACCTGGGGCACCCATCCTTTGATTATCAGTCCTCGTCCCTTCAGCTTTTCCTCAAATCCTTCTGGCAACCACGTCTGCTCATTGATTGTATCTTGCGTCGCCCAAACAAATTGCTGGTCTGAAGCTTCAAGAGCCATTGCTATCTCAAGCAACTGAGCGGATGAAAAGACAGACATACTGCCGAAACATATATAAATGACTGATTTTGGTTCCTTGGTATTGAGCCAATCCAAACACTGATGCTCACAAAAGGAGGTGCCATGTCCTCTTTGGGCTTTATCTTCATTGTCTTTGTTGTAGAGTGAAACTGGACCGATGTGCCATGCTTTTCTCCCTTCCAGTTCCCAGTGTTTTACATAATATGGTTCCAGCTCATAAAAGCTGTTTACGATAGCTCCATAGCTAGTCATTTCTGCTCTCATAATATTCCTAACAATTTCAGTTATTATGCTTTCTGTTTCATATTTTAAATGGTCTGGAAGTTGTTGCCTTGACATCTTTATTGTGTCAGGAAGGCCAGGGATGATGAACTCTTCCGTCTCCGATTCAACCTTCAAATGAGGTGTGTGTTCCATCAAACTATGTAAAGCACAAAGAGGAAAAAAACCAGTGCCATTGAAAAATATTCTTGGAATCCCCAGCTTGGCTGCAACATCAACAGCCCATGAAAATTGAGGGGCTGCTACTAGACAATCTGGATGATCTTCTTCTAGGAATTGTTCAAATGGTTGTTGAAATAGGGATAGGCCCATGATGAATTTCAGATACATCTCTGTACTAGTAGTAGAAGCTATGTTTTCACAGCCATCTGGCAATCCAGCTTCTTTGCAAGGAAACTCGGTCGTACGGATGCTAATATCACTGCCCAACTCTCTGTCTCTTTGGATTGCTTTGGAGAATGTAGACGCGTTGAGAGGAGTCGTGATAATGGTTATCTTCGCCCCGTGCCTAGCGAATTGCCTGGCTATGTCCACTAGTGGTATCATGTGGCCAGGAGCCATCATCGGCAGAAAGTACATGTGAAGTTGATCAGTTTTTCTATCCATGGTAGCCAAGGAATAGATAAGAAAAAAAGCTTTATCAGCTGAAGAGGAAAGAATGAACAGTAGCTGAAAGAAAATAGGAGGTGTTGTATATTTAACCTTCTTTTCTCATCATGTTTTTATAGACAAATGGTGATTTTTCGACGCCTCTGATTTTGATAATGTCTTCATGGGACCAGTACTTGTGAAATCCAAGGTATGTAAGTTGCCATTGTTGACCTTTTGTACTTAGACAATTTTGATGCAAGAAAAGTAAATTAGACCTGTGGTTATCTTATTATAATGTGGAGGATAGTCTTGAATTTGAATTGGCAAATTAATTCTGGACTGGTTTTAAGCACATCTATTGCTGACTTGTTGCACATACATTGGTGGGATCTTTCTTTCTTTCTTTCACCTTCTCTGCAAGTTTTTGAAGACTTTTATATATGCTGACTCATGCTACAAAGTTTTAGTATGACTTGCTTTCGTCCTGCCGTTTCCTCTTACTTTCCTTTTCTATAAATTAATCTAGGAACAACTAAGGACGGCGTTAACAATACATACAATAAAACTAAGAAATGATTATATTACTTAGGATTTAAGTTATATATATATAGGTTGTTGTTGTTGTTGATTTAAGTTATATATAGTGACAGTGTAAGGTTTCTTTTACACTACCCGGTGAATCTTAAGTAATAATAATAGAATGTCCGTTATCATTTTTTCCAGATTACCATTTAATACTTATTAAGAGATTTAATTGTAATTACCTAATAAGTGAAATATTTGTGTAAATAATTTTGATACCATTACCGCATAGAATTAAACTTCCATTTTGTATTAGCCAATCACATGATAAGACGTTGTTTCAGAACGACAGGTTTAGATGATTCATACTAGGACTTTTGAAAATATCTAATTCCCTGGCTCTGCTTCTTTCTTCATTGTTCTCATAGTTATTACTTTGGAACCATAGAAATTCAAAATAATTTTATTACCTCCAGAAAACCAAAAACATGTTCACAAAATATTGATTGAGTTGGACTTCAAATTTCTTTTTCACACATAGGTAAATCATGAGATTTTAGCCCCATAAGAATTAAGAGTCTTCCTGTGATAGTGGTTTGTTATTTGATTACTTACGCTCTTCTATTCTGATATAAGGAGAAGCTGCAATGTTTTCAGTAGTTGCAATCGACGAAGTATACGTAGAAACAAGTGTTCTTCGTATAAGAGTATCAGTCTTTTCAGTATATCTTGAATTTCTATATTGGTTTCTAAAACAGTTCCTTCTTTAGAGTCCATCAATTAGCATTTGGTAGGATATTTTTGCAACAATCATAGCTCTGGTGGTCTACGCACAGGAATTTGCATACTTAAAATGGTATACATAATTGAATAATTAAACACACTTTTTGTTATTCCTGGAATTGATTTAAATGAAATGGAACAGATTCTTTAAAATATTTCATTTGATGCTGAAGAATTTATCATATCCATATTTTCCTTTTCTTCTTGCTTATGTCTTCCTTCCTGCTCATAATGTTGAATTCTCTTGAACTGTGTTTATGTTTCACCAAAAATCTGAGTGCTTGGTCAAAGCTAAAAGAGAAATTCGGGTTACTGATAATTAGGAGACAAAAAATAAAATACTTTTGAGAACAATGGTAGAAGGTAAATAGATAAGTATTTCAATGAATTCTCAATAGTATTCCGTATCCTTACAAATGATGATACTTCTTCCTTTTATAGATCATTCTAGTAAAGGAATAAAGCCTCAGCTTTAATGATATAATCATGATCAATAAATGACATTAAATAAGCCGTTATACAATCATTCCTATTAAATATCAACTTTATAACATATCAGACATTTAATAATGAATTTGGACTCCTTTCTGTCATCTGATCCTTGCTTTCAATGCCTTCTAATCCGTTGGCTGTAAATAATTTAAATTGGTACGAGACTAGTATCTATACGTCGTCTCGTGCTTATTTAAATTCTTCTTCCCGTGGCTGTTTTCACCGTGCCTCTTAGTCAATTGCTGTTCTTTGACTATTCAACTAATCCACGTTCATGCCACATCATTTTTAATATAAATTCAGTTTTTTTCCAATACAGATAGTCCCCCCACTTTCCATTTTTTTTATCAATTAAATAATTGGGAAGTGGATCTTCATGTAAAAAGAACTTTTGCCACAATTAATGCTCATGACAGTACTAACGTCTCAGCAGTCTTTTCCATTTAATGTTCTGTCCATGTGTCATTTTATAATTGATTCCGCTATTCATACCCTTCTTCGAGACTTCTTCATTCTCACTATTTACGAAGTGATAGCTGCCTTTATTATAGGCTTTTCATCATTATACTTAAAAAGTTGACGGTTCCCATTTTACACATAACTTTGTCTTCCTTTGTCTTCTTCACAAATCTTCAGCACATACTTTCTTCTTAACAATGTCTTCNNTTTCAAGGAGTTTTGTCCCAAAATCCCCTTCTTCTAAAAGTAGGGAAATTCTTGATACTTCTCAAGAACCCTCAGTTGATGATATAG